TTTTTTTTTTTTTTTTGGATGACTAGAAAACGTGTGAACATTAACAAAAGTTAACTCATTTAGCATTTGTCTCCCTGATAGCTTATGTCTAACTCTGAGTTCATGTTCCATCCAGGGAGGTGGGTTTCTCCTTCATGCATGGTATGAATTTCTAACAGTGATAGTTTATCATTTGTGTAACGGAATTACCTGGGGGACAGGTGAGCTCTCAGTCACTGGAGCTAATGAGGCTGTGGTTGATCACCAACTGACAGAGGTATAGATGGAATCCCTTCCCTGTGGGATAGTAAACATCAAGTCTGGTTCTGTACATGGATGCATTACACTGCAAAAATACAACGATTATGAAAATCACAGGGGAAATATTTATTGTATAAGTCGGAGCTTCCCAAACTTCCTTGGTCCATGATGCTCAGTGTCTTTCCATAGTATCACTAGACCAAATGTTTTTTTTATTATGTTGTAGTTTTTGAGATGTTACCTAACAATTTTTATATGAAGTAGTTAAGTCAAACAACTTACTAGTGGTTCTCAGAGTACATTGCAGATGTCACTGTGTTCCTCTTAAAAACTTAAAATATTCAGGGGGTGTTGTGATGCTCAGGACACCACAGCTCACAGTTTGGGAACTGTAGCCATACGCAAAAAATGTGTGTATACTCTCTGTATGTAACTGATCAGGTTTGTATGTATGTAAACAAAGACTGGAAGAAAACAAAGTACAAGTTATCTTTGGCTTATAGATGATTAAAATAATTTTTTTTACGTTTATTTATTTTTGAGAGACAGAATCAGAGTACAAATGGGGGAAAGACAGAGAGAGAGGGAGACACAGAATCCGAAGCAGGCTGCAGGCTCTGAGCTGTCAGCACAGAGCCTGACATGGGGCTGGAACTCCCAAACCGTGAGACCTGAGCCAAAGTCAGAAGCTTAACCAACTGAGCCATCCAGGCGCCCCGATTTTAAAATATTTAAGCCCTTTTATTTATTTATTTTTTAACGTTTATTTATTTTTGAGACAGAGAGAGACAAAGCATGAATGGGGGAGGGTCAGAGAGAGGGAGACACAGAATCTGAAGCAGGCTCCAGGCTCTGAGCTGTCAGCACAGAGCCCGATGCGGAGCTCGAACTCACGGACCACGAGATCGTGACCTGAGCCAAAGTTGGCCTTTCAACTGACTGAGCCACCCAGGCGCCCCTATTTAAGCCCTTTTAAATCATGTTTTGCTTCTAATTTATTTCTGATTCTTGGGTCTTTGGGTGCAGTCAAGGCTTGTTCTTAGGTCCTTTCTACAGAAAGGAGCTGGACAGACAAGAGGCTTCTGTTAAGCTCTGGGGCAAGAGTAGTGTGGGAAATTCTACTGCTAAGGAACCCAGCCTTTTGTGATTAAAATTAACTGTGTTCTCTTTTAGGACCATAGGGTGTTTTGGCTGATTACAGGAATTATGTTTATGGGAAGTGGCCTCATCTGGAGGCGTCTGCTGTCATTCCTCGGACGACAGCTCGAAGCTCCTTTGCCTCCTGTGGTATGTGGTGTGGAGAGTCTGGCTCGCAGCAGTGCAGCACAGGGGTCACATCTGGGCTTACGTGGTCACAGGCTCTGCAACCCTGAACACATCACTTAATTTCTCTAAGCCTCCCTCACTTTCCCCATCTGCCAGTTAAAGTGCTAGTGGGAGAGTTAAATAATATATGTAAAGTACTTGTCAGCACAGTGCCTGGCACAGTAAACAAGTTAGAAATACTTCTTCCGTGTGCAGCACTGTGACGAGCATTATATAGACAGATATTAGCAATTCTGCCACAGGCTTTGTCATAACCCCAATTGAAATGTAGAAAATGTAGTGTTCTCATCAAGATACAAGTTTACCCTTTTTCTTCCCCTTCTACTCCTTGTTCACACCAGGAGTAAACATGTAAGATACTGATACAAGTCTTACGGTCCTTCCCTCATGTGGTAGGTAGCTATCATTTTACTAGGGGCTTTTCTTTTCAGACAGACACCAACTAAAATGATTAATTTCCCTTCTTTATTTAGATGGCCTCTTTACCCAAAAAAACCCTTCAGGCAGACAGAAGCATGGAAATGAAACACAGCTTCCGGCCAGATGGACCCGGATCAAGCAGGAGTGTCCTGACAACCCGGTAGAGACTGGACTATTTTTTTATAGTAGTCACGAGAAACTTCTGATACCTTTATTTTCTTTTATAGAATCAGAGACTTGAAAAAAATCACTGATACTTAAATTATAATGTCTGATAAAAATATTAAGGTACTCACAGTACTAGAACTTAATTGCAAAGTACTTGCTTTGTAAAAGGCCAAAATTCTATCTTCCACAAACTGAAAAGGCTGTTTTTAGAGACATGATGTGAGGCATGGAGAGACTGATTTATACATATCAAAAAAAGTACAGCCTCACTCCCAGCAAAGCCTGAAAACTTGATGAACCCGTGTGATGAGACCAGGTAGTGGCTCTTAGGAAGTTCCCAAGAACAAGATTCCCTGTGCTGACTCTCAGGTGACTGGAAAGGTAGGAAAATCTATATTAACCTCAAAACACACTTGGAAAGTTTGTGCTTTAAATCAGTCTTTTTTTGAATTTGCCTTTTTATATAAGGCAAATAAAAATGAAACGATTGAACATCAGCTTACATGGATTCCATTTAATCAAGATTTCACTTTCTTGAACGCTGGAACAATTTTTCTTTGCTTGGCTATAACACAGCCTTTAGAAATAGTGTCAAAAGAAACTATTTCCCTTCTGTTACTTGGTCGTTCCCGGACTTTAGACAGAGGGGTCACCTCGACCACCCCCGAAAAAAAGTGTACATAGCCACAGATGGGCTTCCTAAAACCAAAAGGTGGATAAACTTCAGAATTTCATCTACAGTCAGGTTGGGATTCAAAACTGTGGCTATTTGTAAGTCTCAAAATTGCTATCCTACTTACCATCTTAACTACCATTTTTATATTTTCTGGAGGTTAGTTATGCAGAACATTATAGCTTTCCTTCCCTTCAAAAGGGACATGGAAGATTCCAGAGAGTCCAGAGCAGCTCTTGTACTCCAAAGAACAAATATGCCACTGATGTTGGGGTCACCTGATACTACAATAGGATGTCATATGGGGAAGTTTAGGAGTCCATTTACCAAGTGGTTTGGTGATAGCTCCTGGAACAGCATTTTTATTCCTAACTTGAAAGAAAATGGATGAAGTTGTCAATTTTCCCCACTCCCAGGTGTGGTTACAGGAGGCCTGCAAAGGTGGAAGATAGAATGGCAGGAGCTGTGGCCTGAGCTCAGGGCAGAGTGGCCCCCAAGTACGCTCTGTGGTGTGGGTGTTGGGACATGGATAGACATGGCTCTCTAGTGTCCTAAATCTGTGTGGTGGTTTTCAAGACAAAGTCTCTCTGATAATCCTTAGATTTCACAGGACACTCTTTGGCCCACCTCAGAGCACCTGCTGCTGGTCTTGTGCGATCACTGTAAAGTAGGTTATAAACATTTACTGTGACAGGGGAAGAATTGAAAGCCCAGAGGACTTTAATTTGACTGAGATCAGACACAATTGAATTTTGGCCTTTTTCCTTTTGGTGTGACTTATGTTTGCAGACTTGGGTAAAATAATTTTTTTGATGAGTCCCATCTCGTCAATAAAAGGGAAGTGGCAATTACCTCCTTAGTCTGCAGAGAAGTCACTGATGGTTTATCAGGTTCTGTAAGGTGCTCACATCAAGGAGGATTTCAAAAATGTCAGCTAGCTCTGCTTAGCGGACAGTAAGTAATAAGATGGCCTACACTGAAAATTACAAAGTTTAGTGGTTTTAAATTTTGAAACAGACTGAGCACATAAACTTCTGTAAATAAACGATAATACCAAATACTTGGTTATGTAAGCGAGCAGTCTTATCGCCTGTTTAACAAGTTCAAGGAACAATATTCTTCAGACTGTCCATTTTTGGAAGGCAGAAAATAGCATCCTAAAATGACATCTGAACACTCGCTTTATTCTTGATAAACCGATTGTGATGAATAACCACTAAATAAAAAGATAGTGGGGAGTCATTCTAAAAGTTGTACACAGCTTTATTTTTTGGAATTGCAATGTTAAACACACTTTAAGTGGTGCCTGTGGAGGTGGGCTAATGGATGGTGCCTGGACCGGGGCATTCAGAGATCTGAGTTTATTCCAAGACCCACTTCAGATCTTTCTAGATCTGCAGTACAAAGGCATAAAACCATTCTGATCTCGAAGCAAGTTGTTACATATACATAGAAAAACAGACCGCAAGTATGTACATGTGTTTTGATATCTTGAAATAAAGGTAACTAATTATTAAGTTCAGATTTGTGTTAATGAGAGCTTAAAACCCTACAAGATGTTTCCATTTCTGTTATGCATTTCAGAATCCATGCTGAGAACTACAGTTAGTGGAGTGAAAATGTAACCACATAATGCATTGGACTCTGTGCCAGGTTGACCTCCGACAGTAGGAATCCAAATTAGCACTTCTGAATATGGCTAAATGTCCTATATAAAATCCTACACGAAAACTTGCCTCCAACCTTATACATTTTAACCTTCTCTGCCTGGTGCTTGCTATCTGGTATGTTTAAGCATTAAGAAGAATGTAAGTCGTTAATGATCGTGTTTCAACACAGGCCCTATCAGTGAAGCGTGGATGTCTTCCGCGGTGCTGGCAGCGTAAAGGAACCCACGCTTGTAAGGAAAGGTCCAGTACTAGACAGGCATCCGTTCTGCACTCAGACTTCTCAACTTGTATTACAGTCAACTAATTTCTGGGCCCTAAAGATGAATTTCCCTTAAACTAAAAAGAATAATTCACATAAGAACTAGCAATAATTGTTACCCAAATGAAACCAAATGGTATTTGTGCTTTTTGCTGTTCCCTAGAGAACCATGCAGATGGCCTGCCTCTCTTTAGGAAAGGGGACAGTCACAGGACTCATCCAGAGGTGACTTTGTGTCCTGTTTCCCTGTATGTACTCACCTGTGCTCACAATTAACTCTAGTAGCTTTCCCTAGATGTCTAATTCAACTTTTACTCTTCTGCTGGACTCCTTCCTTGGACCAGTCTCTACTCTGCCTCTAGAGAAGCTGGGTTCTTGTCATTACTTCTCCCTGCACTTTTAGTACCTTTCACTAGTGTGCTTCCCTGTTACAGGATCAGTAGTAATGGTTTCTCACATTTTTAGTGAAGCTAAAACCCTGGGGTAGATTCCTTTCCCTTAACTATGCCACACTGCAGGATTGGCGGATGAAATCTGCTAAAACCAGCCCAGGAACAAGAGAGACCAAGGCCTGCTTCTCTGCCTGGTCCCTTGCAGTGGCCACTGGCTCAGGCCAGATCTCTTCTCTCTACATAGTTTGTACCAACTCAGTGCGACAGCAGCTCCTCTTGGGAGGTCCTGGAACAAGTGGAAAGTCACTAGATGCCACAGTTAGGACAGCTGCTTCTACAAAAGCATTTGAGGGCACTAAAAGGTAAGGAGGTTTTAGTCTTGTATTTATCCTTCACTATACGAAACACTGAAAATGAAATAATCCTCCCAAGAAGGGACCAAATCAGGTACAGCAGATGCCTTTGCAGTTGTGAGGTTATCCTTCACCCCCTTACTTTTCACTATACTAGTTCTCTAATTTGTTTTCCTATATACTACACTATTTCACTTTGATTGGAATGGGTCACTGTTTTTAAAAGGAAAATTTTAGGAGAAATTGTGATAGAGAACCACAGAGAGAGAGGTCTTTCCAGGCACCAGAAAGACGTAGCTAGTCCTGTGAAGAGGAGAGACATTGTACAAAGGTTTGAGCACAGGCAGTAAGTCAGGAATAAGTTTAAATGCAAGGGAAGCAAGGACTGAAACTCTGGAAGAGGAGGGGACCTGGCTCACCAGAGCCCCTGTCACCGTCTACTGCATCGTCATCCCAGACGGAGACATCTCTACTCCCAGGAGCCCTGCCCCCAGCAGGAACGCTCCCCCTGGAGATGACTGGGCACAAGAGACGGACAGAGGAGGACAGCCTTTAGTCTAGGCCAAGGCTGTAGACGTGAAGTGCCCCAGAGAGTCGGGCTCCCAAAGAGCTCCTTCCAGCAGCAACGACAACTTGGTTCTGCAGAGGACACAAAACATTTTGATGATTCATAATGCCTTTAGTTTCTGCCATAATCCAAGCATCACGTTATGCTCTGGTGATAAGATGTTGTTTAAATCCCGCATTCTCAGATCTGTATGTTCAGAAAACCAGGGCTGAGGAAGTTCCGTCCCTTCTCTGGGGGCAGGCCCTGCTGCTTGAACCAGTTTCGGAACCGTCCTTCAGAAGTGTCTTCAAAGCCTGCAGCCAGTGTTTAAACTGTTTTCCCTGGGGGCCGGTCTACATGCTGGGAGCCTGGACTTGATGATCCTAAACCCAGGCTGGCCAGGGTCCAGCCGGCCAGAGCAGGGAACGACCGTGAAACGGCCAAACCTCCTGTGAAAAGTTCTACTGATTTGATTTTGAGAACTACAGATGGAATCCGGAAGTAATAATGGCTAACATTTCCTGACCTCTTACCACACTGCCCTTTGCTGTTTTATACCCTAGTGTCAAAAGGAAAAATGAAAATCTTGCCTTCCTCTTATTTATGGAAGTATTTACTTGATTTGCCTGTAGTTTAGTTTCGTAGTTGAGCTTGGTCTCCATTTCACACCTTCCTTTCCTGCCTCCTGTCCAGCTAGTCAACCTCCTCCTGGTTCCTGGCAGCTCACCTTCCCCGGCTCCCGCTTTCTGACTGCCTTTGGCTCTTGCTCAGCATACGTGGGCCTGTGTTACCGGGCACATTTCCACCTAGACGGCAAGCACCTGCGTGCAGGAACCAGACGTCAGGTTTGCGTGCTTCTCCGGGGCGTCGTATGACACAGCGCGGCCAAGGCTCACCTGTGCGCCCCGTCCTGACTCTGGCTTCACGCTCTCGAGTCTTCAGACTCCCAACCTGAGCCTCCGTAAACCGCCACTCTGACCGGCCTCAGCTGGTCCGTGTCCAGCTCTAAGCTACTCCCAGGCTCCCATCCCAGGTGTGTGTTGGGGGGGGGGGGGTTGGTGCAGCACATTCAGTGTTCTCCCCAGGGGAAGGGTCGTTACAAAGGAGAACGTGCAGCGTTGTACGCAACCATAACTTCTAGATGATCTGTACCACTCCTCAGGTGGCAGAAGGGATGCTGGGTATGTGTGATTCTTACATGATACATGGGTTCTTGATAACCTCTAACTTTGAGAAAATGCATTTTAAATGCAAGCCAAGCTTACGACACATTCTGTCACCAGACATTCGGAGAATCCTCCCATAAACTTCATCTCTTTTTCTGGATAACCCTAAACGTTTACTTAACCAGGCTTGACTATATAGATGGTAAAGCAAGAGCCATCTGAACTGGTGGCCACCCGAGAGCAGTTTCACTAAACGGCAAGAAGCTGGAGGTCACCCGCCCTGCCACACTCCATGATCTATGAAGGCCTCCCATCCCACCGCTAGTACTGGTCAGACTTTCAGACTATGCTTTAGCCTTAATCCTGTCAACTTCCCACGTGTATAAATCTTGTTTCTCTCTCAAAGCTCACATAGTTCTGTAGAACATCCTCTCCTAAATGAATGAATGGGTTCGGTACTTTAGTTTTATATTTGAAGATAAAACTCTTTAACTGCTGTACCCATTAAAATCCAAAATGTGCATACCTTTTGGTCTAGCAGTCTGCTAAGAATATCATTAGCAGCACAGTTTCTTGTAATGGTTAGAGAGAGGGAGAGAGAATTCCAAGCAGGCTCCATGCTGTCAGCACAGAGGCTGACACAGGGTTTGATCTCCCCAACTGTGAGATCATGACCTGAGCCCAGATCAAGATTATCAGATGCTTAACTGAGCCACCCAGGCACCCTGAGGCTTGCACAATTCTATAAAAATGGAAATAACGGAGAAAGGGAACCAAATAAAACCAATACGATGCAGCCATTGAAAAGACCCCAACAGCTCCATGTGTATTGGTCTGAGAAGAGCCATCAGATGCTATAGAGCACATGGAGGTGACGAGGCTGGGCAGGTAGAGCGCGTGCACGCGCACGTTTACGTGTTTGTCCCGGAATCTGGACGAAACCGTGCCAGCGTATTAACAGTGGTTATCTGACATGGCGGGGTTTGCAAACTCTCTGAAAGGGCCAAGATGATGATTACTTCAGGCTGTGGGGGACCTCGGTCTCTGGGACAGCCAGTCGCCCACCATTGCATTACAGTAGCTGCCACAGAGACACGGGAGCAGGAATGTGTTCTGATAAAACTAGGGACGCTTCATACAAGTCTCAGGTGTCACCCAGCCACTTAAACTGTAATAATCATTTTTAGCTCATGGCCTGTACAAAAACTAGTCCCACAGGCTGTAATTTGCCAGCCCAGCCCTGAGGGTTGAATGGGAAAGTGATGAGATTGTGTATGGATGTTACTTCCTTTTTTGTGTTCCTCTTTTTCAAGTACAATCTTTTAGATGAAAGACCACCCCCCC